CGAAATGCATGGTAAGTACGGATCCACGTTCATGGAAAGGTTTGAAGTGAATCCTGTTCACGTTCGTGCGTTTGACACGTGGATCCGTACCTACCATGCATTTCGTCACAAAAACTTCCGGTCCCGCCCACTGCTCCATGATCCGTAGTAGATTCCTTTAAAGGCAATGTTCGGGCCACCTAATAAGCTCTTAAGTGGCTAGACGCAGGACGCAGCTGCAGGCGACTCGCCAACCTCCCGCATCTAAATGCGTCACTAAGGCGCTAGGGGCCAAGGACTTTGACACGCTTCTCCTGTTGCGACACGCCCCGCCCACCGCTCAATATTTTGTCTGCGTGGCAATGCTGATCTGCTATGCTCTGTCTTCTCGGATTTCTACCGCTCTCCGCGCTCACTTTATCTCTCATCTCCCTGCCGGCCTTTTGCACTTCTCCGCAACGTAAAGTAAAAGGCTCGTCTTCCTGTGTATTTCAGAATTTTTCTTCTTTTTTCTCCAAAGGCAGTTACCCTCTTGCCTCAACATCACATTTGAGTAGAATTACCTCATCAATTTAAGCTTGAATTTTGCTTTAAAGGAGGAATTCACGATTAGAATGAAGGTCGAAGAAAGGGAAACTGACCTAGTTGAGGGACCCACGTACCTTCTGAGGGTGCGAACGGACGCGCAATTCGCATGGAAAAATTTGACCTCGGCGATCTATCATGCCTCAAAGCTGGCGGGTTCGGCGATCTCCGCCCACCGATCATCTGATCACTTGTCGTAGTTTAATACGTGGCGAGTGATTAGATAGCTGAGAGAGCGTAATGTTGAAGAGGGCACAGCGATGACAGTCGCATCAATGCTCAAATCAACGGGCAAGGAAGGGGTCTCTTTTCTCGGGTTCTGGGCCGTTTCTCATGTTCGTTTCTTTCTTCTTTCGTGTACCACTCACCATCCCTAGGTTAATTTGAAATGGGTTGCTTTTTCATTGTGAATTCGTCCTTTAAACGCTACACGGTCTCGTGAGGAAAGGTGACCGTGAGGAGAAAAGGCAGGTGCAAAGTAGAAATTGATTTGAAATTTTTTTTTGAAAAAGTTGATCGTTACATGAGTTGATAAGTTGGTATCATTCGTCGTTGTGAATAGCAGAAGAATTACGTTTTGTAGAGCGAGGCGAAACGACAGCCAACCAGAATGCTCGGACGTGTAGGCCTCCACCATTCCTCAAAATTTAGTGCCACATTTGTGCATTGTCACTACGGTATAGTTTTTGAACTCCATCTATTAGCAATATATGTATAAATGTTAAAGTGAAATTTGAATTATCATCTTGCCATTGTTCGTATTCCCTTCAGGTTATCGTTATTATTCTTCTGCTATGTAGCGTTTTCTTCGTATCCTAGATGTTTTCGTTCTCATGTTGCATTTGGGAAACGTTCACGGTATCCCGGTGGATCCCTTCCCTCCGTACGAACAAAAAACAAGTACTTTTTCATCTCGTTTATTTGTGTTATTTAGTCGACACCGGTGGGGCGAAAATGCGCGGTGCTTACCATATCATGACAAAACATGTAGAACGACTGTCACATTTTTCGACGACTACCATTTAGTACTTGTTTTACCCTGGTCTCGCTCGCGCATCAACGCCGCACATGAAAATAGTACAACGCGCATGTAAGTGCATTTCATTGTTGCTGCGACGCGACCGCTTGCCCGATTTCCACATTTAGCGAACGTGACACCATTTTTGAGGGCAACTTTATCTCGCTTGGCCATATGATTGACTGTGTTTGTGATTTTAGTCTTTTTGCCTTGGTTGGAGTAGCTACATATGTATTTGGTGTTTCATATCCATTTTATTGGTGTTCTTTGACATTTAATAAGCGATGCAATAGCGAACTGGTTACGTTCACTTTCACATGACGCCACCTTAGATGCCTTACTAAGCTACTCATCAAGTGTTTCCTATGTGTTGATTGTTGTGAATTTTACGGGCCAAACGATTAAAAAGCGTTTCTCTCGATCCTTTGTTTGTTTGTTAAAATTTAGTACCAGTAGCTTCACGGAAAGCAGTAGTGGAACGTTTCAAGTGGAACTACTTTCAAGTTGTGAAACAAGGAGGGGCCGAAGCGGAAGCGGAAAATTGGAAAGCTTGACTCGACGTGAAAGTTTGGCCTTCGGTCAGCGAGTTGTTTGAACGCATCCCGTGAAGGGGAGAAATGCTCTCTCGTCCATTGTTAAGAAATGCTCGAGGGGGCCACTATGCTGAACACCGCTTCCGGATATTTTTGGGAAGGTCTTTTTTGAAATTGTTGTTCGGAAACAGGTTTTCTTGAAGATCATGACTATCACTAAAGCAAATGGCAGGTATGAAAGTGAGGAAGTACTACAACACGTCTCTGTGAAGGATGGCTCTTATATACATAAATGTACCTGTTAATGAGTATGCGATAGAAAACTTAGTGTCCTATTAAAAAGGCAGATAAATTATGAAGAACACTTGGGTTAATTCTTTTCAGGGCACTTTGCTTAGGTAACTGCTATCTCTGGCGTCTTCTGTGTTTTTAGCACATTTGTGTCATTTTACCTCATTTCACTTTCTTCCGAGAATTGACAAGGTTTGAAGTTTCGCTGTTGACCATGTGCACGATCCGGGGCTTCAAGCCACGATTCGGGATTAGTTCCTAATAGCCAATCCCTCCTAGAATGAGAATTAGGGGTCCTAAGGGCACGACACTGTCTCGAGTCAAAAGTGCGAGGCAACGGTGCTGAGGTCTTGCGCTCCCCCCAGTGTCTTCTAAGGTGCTTTTTGCATTCCCCCCCCCCTCCCGAGAAGAGAAGTGGAAAATTTTTACTCCCTTCTAGACCCTCATGCATGGAGGTGGGAGGGAATGCGGAAAATGAGGGTTCATTTTGATGATCGGTCCAGAAACAGAGCAGATTGATATAAGTTGAGTTTTCGCCATAAAAACGCTGTAAATGCTAACGACGGGGAACTATAAAGTTGGTCAAAAAGTATCCGCCGTTTTGACCCCCTAATTTTCAAGCACCACAACTTTGCTGAAACACAATGTTTTTGTTCGAAATAAAAACTTATGTTCAGCAGATTGTTCTTAACCAAATCCATACTAAGAACTTCCCTTACTATAGGTCTTTAATTTATTATAGGCTAAAAGCTGTAGGAAGGCGCTGTGACATGCGTCAGTTCTCAAGGCGATTTCTCCTCCAAGAACTATGTAAAGAAGCGGGGAATTGGTGGTTTGTGAAAGATGAATCTGCGCTATGTAAAAGCTAGCAAAAGAACTGAGCCAATTCCGAATGGATTCTACAGAGCGTATTTCGCGGTGGGCCATTTAGCGCTATCGTGGTGAAGGACTGGACCTCATTTTTTAAACAGACTATCATCCTCATAGTTTCTTACGTTTCATGTTCTAATCTTTACCACAGGACTCGGCCGCCGTCGAATGAGTCAATTCTCGGTTCTCGAAATGAGCTAGGCTATCGAAAATTGAGGAAAATCCTTATTGGAGGCGCTTCAGGTTTTGCAGCGTTCCAAGGCAGCTTGATTTCGTCCACATACTTGGTAACCCTTTCACTGTTAGCGTGTAGAAGCATAATCTTACCCCACACTATTACCCATCTTGAGAACTGTTCCAGGCCCACACCCCACGCGCGTCGCAACTGCTAAAGCTGCCAGCACGGGTTACTCCGGTGAATAGATTGACGACATTTTTCCTGCTTTCTCACAGCGTCCACCAGGATGAGTTCGGTGCATTTAGAGACCCAACCTCTAATACCACACCTGTAGTTGGGTATCAGTGATAAGCTGCTTTCATTTCTTTTTACAATCCCGTACATTGAGGGCACTCCTTAAACTACGTGCATCACTTTCGAACTTCATTTCCAGGCCCAAACCTGCCGAGCAATCTTGCGCTATGCGTTTCCTAGCAGCACTCCTTCTCAATGCAGTCGCCATATTACGAGCTGGTCCTGGCGTGTCTATTCCAAGTTTGAAGACATGAAGTGGCAACAATCATCACTATTTTGCTTATTCTAAAGAGGAGGGTAAAACGACAAATGTTTTCGGAGTCACCTTGAACTTTCGTATGAATATGAAAGGACTGACTTTCCCCTATAAAATGACACCCAAGATGTTTGAATAGTTGTGAAAGAAACTATCAAAAAATGCAGGGGACTAATCGGGGTGCAAAACAGCCGATACTTTTTGACGGACCTAATATATTCCGTAATTCTGTTGTCAATGCAATATAACTTGTATTGTTTTTTACGCCGGAACGGCATAGAGAAGTCCGGTATATTTAGCACGTTAACGACAGCGTGACGCGGTAACGCGTCAAACTTTGTGCACGTCGTGGGACATTGTAACGCAGTAACGCGTCCCACCCAGGTCATCCTCTTTTCTTGCGTTTGTGCGACTTATCCCTGGGCTTTGTACTCATTCTATAGGCTATACATTAGCATCTTAAAAACCACACGGCTCACAGAAAGGCCACATATTCTTCAGTTTGACAGAGGTCGTCCAGATCTGACGGATATGTCTGTTCAGTTCATTCCTCGTTTTCTTTTCATTAACGTAAAAGTATTGATAAAAAGGAATAATAGAAGCGAATACAAACCTATTGGGAGATATGTGTTTTCACTGAAACAACCACGTCCAAATTGATTTTGGAGCCACTAAACGAAAAGTGAGTAAAATTCCCCTTTTCATGGCCTAAACGCGTCATTTCGGTCAAACTTCCATTTCTGTAACTCCTGATAAGATGGACAGATCTAACATCATTAAAACATTTCATGGCATCTAAGTATTGCGTATTTACAGCTCAACGTCCGTGGATTTGGTGTGCGGCGGCTGCGCTCACAAAATCGCACTTGTCCCACGCGGTGCAGAAGCACAAAACGCGCAATGTCATCAAGGTGTTAAGGAACTCAGATTCGTTTTCTTGGAATAATGCCCGAGTTCCAATTGAAGTATAAATAACGTTTATTCATTAGCAAACTACAGCCACGCAGAAAGTGGTTCAGCATCATCCTTGCCGGTTCCACTTGGTAATAATTTATTTCTCCATCCACTCGAGTGTTTCTGCAAATAAAACATCAGAGTATTGAGCACGATAGCAAGAAAACGGAGCTGTTTTCATGACATCGTTGGACGTCTGTGGACGCCGTTGATGAAAGGGAGTTGGGAGGTGGTTACAGGCACACCCTACAGCACGCTGAGGAGCCTGCACAGCGTTTTGCTTTGTTTGTCTCGCTATCCAGCAAATATGCTATTCGCATGTTGATAGGAGGAAGAACTCGGGCTAGAGGGTGGAGCGGTTTGATTAAAGGAATCTTGCGCGGAAAAATCATGTCTATTTCAGCCATAAATAACTGGCTTGAGACTCATAATCCACGATAATAGTGAAAAGAACTGAAGTTTTGCTTTCGTTTTGATTATAATTCGAAAACTCGGAAAGGCTGCTAGGTTCGAATTGCCCACGGACGGTCTTTCACGAATGCGGCGACGATGCTCAAACTTTGTTCTTGGAGGGCATTCACAAGAAGCTCTTTCTGGCCTTCTGCTTCGTTGCATTCACATCTTACACTTTTACAACATCCTATTCCATCGATTTGTATCCACTTTCCGAAATCGCGCGCTTTAACCCAATTCTCTCATTGCGTCGCCTGGTACGTAGCCGGCCAAACGCCGTCTTCTTTCCATGCCTCGCCTGGCTCTGCCTCCTGGTCCTTCGATAGTCCATAACGTGTAGTTTTTGTACGTTTGTTTCTCTTCAGAAACCGAATCTTCATGCGTGAAATTTTGTGTGCTATTTCCACTGATCACAACTGACATATTCATGTCAGGAGAGAGCGGAAGAATTTTCCGCGCAAGATTCCTTTAAGATTTCATTGTACCATTGGTTGACCAGGTTCTTCAGCGTACAGTAGAGTGTACCTCAACTGGCTCCCAACGGCATCCGACGATGTCATCAAAACCGCTCCGCTTTCCTGGTATCGTGCGCACTGTCTTTGATAGATGTACTTATACAGCACACACTCATCTTCCGGTTGGCGGAATTGTGAATGCACGTCAAATTGAATAAATCGCAATTTTCAGAACTCACCTTACAAGCTTTTTCGGCATTGGCTATTGTATAATTGATGTTGGAAAAATCGCAGAATCCACACGATTTCCGACATGCACGAAAAGCTATTTGTGGATTTTCCCCATCGCAGTTCCACTTCCTCTGAGACTCGAACACATCGGTGGAGTTCACGTACCGAAAATTTTCACAATACTGATCTGTATGCTAAAAACGCTTTCTAGCGGATAATTGCATTTACATCTGAGAGGTTTTCCCGTGCTGAATGACTCAAGTTTGTTGGATTGCAAAATGTATCAAAGCTGATGATCAGAAAGGTGAAAGTTATACAGTGGGAAGCGATACTGGCTTACTAAGTGCAAGATCTGCGAAGGAATTCTCAGTTTGTACGCCTTACGGGACAATCAAACTTTCCATCCCTTCGGGGAAAAGATAATTGTTACCAGGTCTGCCTGCAAAAAAACACCAACATCGGAAGTCCCGCGCAATCCAGTGCATAGGCAATACATGAAAAGTTGTAAGTTTTTTTTTAAAGTGCACCCAGTTGGCAATGTTCTAACAAATATTGATGGAGCTCCGCTCAATTAAGGGCAAGCCCTGGGATCAAACTGATGCTATGAGTGCTTCGTAGTTTAGCAGCAGAACGAACTGAAAAAGGAAGTGAAAGCAAAAGTAGTCTTTGAGAGGGCTTAAATTAAGGTCTTAACCTCCTATAAGGTCGGTATGATACGATGGCGAGATAGGGCGATCAAGGAAGACAAAAGATGCGAGAGAGCACGTCGTTTGGAGAGAACACGCTATTTTCTATATCAATGCACGTTGATCTCAAGTGGGTGGGAAACGTTGCAACGAGGCTCGATGGTTGCAGAATCGTGAAGATTAGCGCCCTAACTGCGCAATTTTTAAGAAGAAGCTATAGTGGCCTAGCTAGGTACGGATCTCACAGTTTCTCTCGCGGTGTCCTTCCTGCTAGTTGGAGTAATCTCGGGTTTGCCTTTGAAACACGCTCAGCAGCTTAAACATCGCTTATTCCTACTTTTTATTATGCTTTCTCAAAGCTATCCTAGGAGATAGAGTTTCGCAATATTGATAGGAGGCACCTAGAAACGTTGAGATGACTTCTCATCACATCTACCAGGCCGCTGCTCACGTTTATCAACATGCGTCTAGTAGAGACCAGGTAATTCATCAGATCACATCAAAATCCGCGGGAAGAGGAGAGAGATGGCCTTTCATGCATATCTGAGATCATCGAATTGGGATAATGTCATACCTGTCACAAAATCCCTGTCCATACCTGTCGTAGCACTGCGCCGATACCAGCGAACCAGCTATGAGATCGTAGGAAATCGACTCAACATTGATGTTACAAGCAGAGCAACATTGAATTATTCTGCAAAAATTATGTTTTCCACTTCGACTAAATTTCGGAGTCACTGCTTTTATGCTAAAAGACAGGAACATCCGTCCCAAGAGCTTAGTATTTATTTATGATGGCATATGAGAGACTTATAGACTTAAGCGGATTTTTCGGATACAGTATCTAGAAGTCTGTACATATGTCCAGTAGCGGTCAAAAGTTTGGAAACTTTTTTTATTTTCGAAATAGCGCAGCTCCTAAGAAACAAATTGCCTCAAATTTGTATATTATATGCAAAATCAAGTGTACAGTGTAAAGAGCACGGCCAACTCTACAATAAGATTTTTTTTGAAAAAAAAAAACCGCGCGTCAAAAGATGGGAACGTTTTGTTTCCCTCATTATGACTCTTCATTTGTTGTTCAGAAGCAAGATGGCCCAACTGGCTTGCGCACATTAACAGCTAACCTGACCTGGACCGAAGGCGAGAGGTTAAAAATTGTGCTAAGCGGTGAGTGGAATTTCGCCTGCTTTTCTCAAAAGAATTTGGTTTCGTTCACAAGTGTAGTCTTGGACTTGACCCTTTCAGCCTGAATTTTTCCCTGTGGAGAAATCTTTATTCTAGCTATCGTTTATTACTTGTGAGCACATTAGTATCATTATGGCGAAATTTGGAAGCTATTCGATCACAGAACAAAGAAACCAAGAAGGTTTGAAAATTGGTCCACCTTCTTAGTTTAAGCTTACGTCGAAACAATTCGAATTTCATAGTTATGCCGAAAAAGTTTATAATCTTGCATAACATTATAACCCAGAACTTTGATTTGAGTGGATCCACTCCAAGTATTTCGGGAAAAGTCACACTTACTTGGCCGCGTTGCGGGGGTCAGTGCCCATTCACTGTTGCACTTGTACAAAAATACTTGTAATACTAACAGCAATAAACAATGAAATGGCCGGTTTAGCTCATGATTAGGAAGATGAAGCTTGACTGAAGCAACCTCTAGCAGGATTAGAAGAACCATGCTGTTTCAGCGGAAATGCAAGCGTTTGAATTTGGTGGTGGCAGTTGCCACCGCCAGGGCCGAAAGGGTTAAGAGTCGTAAAGTGATGTTCTAATCACTTCAGTATCAAGAAAGACGATGCTAGCATAGAGTTGTTCTTAGTGTTGATTTTTTGTTGCTGATTTTTACTAATTTTTCTGATAGATTCGAAAGCTAGTGTGCTGGATTCGCTCTGCAATTGAGGAATTTTCAAACTTTTGACAAATTCTTATAGAAAAAAAATGATTCTCAATTTTGGGGAATCATCTTGAACGTCGTCCTCTACTCTCGATTTTGTACATAATTTCTATTTTAGGCGATTCTGTTGTTTTTTTCTGTGTTTGGTTGAAAACAAAAATGTTTCCAACGTTTGACCGCTACTGTATGCGCGCAAAATAATCGCCTTCTAAGAAGCAGTCACAAACACCGTTATGCCATTCACTGTTGAGACCATCGTCGCAGCAAAAAACATTTCCACATTTCAAGGAAGATTGGTAATTCAGATGCTCTCTTGTGAGGTCACGTAAAGCGGATTTTACCTAAACCTGGAATTGGTCGCCCAATGGAAGTTACGGTAGAAGTGGTCAACGATGAAGAGATAAAGAAAAAACTAGAGAGAGCTGCCTAAAACTTATAAAATGGGGCCCTCATTCTCCACATTGATTTCCGAATAAAGCCGAGTCCTTTTTGTGCTTATGTGAACTCCACTACAGGTTTGGATGTCGAAGAAGAGGAAATATAAAAATTTGACAATACGGGCTCCCTAGAGGTGCAGGACCATGTACGTTTTGCAGCGGAGGGTATAATCTAGGAGCCAAGCAGGGCCGTACCCGCAGCGCTCGCGCGCGTCGCGCGGTGATTTCTTGCCGTCTGTCTCTGCCCGTTTAGCAGCGAGAGCATTGGCGTTGAGGAGGGGCGCAAAGATGAGGAAATTAACGGGCATGGAAAGGGCCCCATTTCTCTAATTTTGAGCTATTTCTCATGGCTTTCTTCTTCATTCCTACTGCACTACTGGCCATCCCTACCTTCAGTACTTATAGGCGGCCCTTTTATTGCGAACTCCGCCCTCCGATCAAGTCACAAACCTCGGTGCACTAACCCAACAATAAATGATGGAGGTTACCTGAACTCAGCATCCGTATTGCACCTTCGCGTGAACATTCGAGAGTTGGATTTCGCCAGTCGGTTACAAGTGACCGCGCCAATATGATCACGACAACAAGGAGGCTGCGTGGTGAAGGAGCTTGCTGAAAAAGTTCAATATTCATTATCAACTCATAGTTGTATCCACTCGCTATGTAAATGGAGGCTCCCCTAAATTTGTTGGTATTGTATAATACAATCCCTAGAAAGCACTTTTTCCATGCATTCATCCAACACTCGCAGGATTGCCGAAGGTATTCGAGTCAAATATAAAGTGCTAGCACTGGGGTCAGTCCGAGCGCTAAATGGACGTGTGCCCGAAGTTTCAGAAAACCCTCATCTTCTTCCAATAGCGCTATTCCGGCATCCATGCAATGAAGGCAGCTTTTAGGAGCCGCGTTTTCCTGGTACCTAGGACACCTTCCGTTATGGCCTTGGTTTCAGTTACTACTTTCCTACTTCTTTTTTGGGGATCCTTATTGCCGCACATCCTGGGCTTTGGAGTCCGGTGCAATTTCAAGTCCACCATTGCAATTGCTGAGTCACAGTCCGTCAGTCTCAGTTTTTAAGCATCCCACAGCACCGTTCAACACGATGTATTCCAAGGACGACCATATTTTATCCGTGCTACCTTTATCTAGGCAATCACTTCCAAGTTCACTCTAGAGTTGGTCCGATTAGCAGACGAAGGACTTTAGCTCATTCACTCATCTACCCCTTTTTCATGGCACTCGCCAACTGGTTCAAAGTACTGATGGAAATGAGGGACTTTGTCTTTTGACATTCAGTCAGAGATTATTCTCTCGTGGCAATTCCTGCCACTTTCCTTACTTGTCCTTCTCTGCTATCCTGTACAGGGGGGGGGGGTTGAGGGAGGGTGTTCACCGTTCCTAACCCTAGAATTCCTTCATAGCATGTGACGGATGTTTCTGTGTTTCACAAGGACAACGTTCCCGTAAAACGTATCAGTGAGCTATCCTGATTGACCGGCTACCCGACAAGAGTCCCAAGGCGCGGCAGGAAGGCAAAGACGCAGACGGGTCAGCGGACGAGTCGCGGCGCATACTGCAGCGATGTCGCGTCAAGGTAAATAGAATGTATTGTAGTACGTCTCACATCACACAGCACGCGCTGCGACTCGTCTGCCGACTCATCTGCATCTCTGCCTTGTTGTGTGTTGTGCAGTGTTGTGCATGCTCGTTGTGAAGGAATTCTTTATCAGGCGGCTTGTCCACCTGAATCTGACGTTGGTACCGACACCATTTACTTAGCACAAAAGTTCACATCAGAACGACTACGAATCCGACTGGAGCAGTTCACGACTGATTAATCCTGTTATGTCCCATAGACATCAATGTAAAGAATATTCCTTGCCATGAAGGTCGTCAAGAATTACAGCCTTTCGGCTGCCAGATAGTACGCCTCACCCGAATAAAATCTATAGCAATGCATTTCTGATTGGTTCCTCTTCCACGAGTCACACTGCGAGAATTGTTCGCTCACTTATCTCATTTTTTATCGATTTGTTTTGCTTCTTTTTTATTTCTTTTCTGGGTGGTCGTTTCGAAAAATTGGGATTCTTAAAGCGCATTTGTGCGGCAAGGTCAGACCTTCAAGAATGTATTCGCGTAAATTCCAGTTACATGCAAAGTCCGAATAAGGCCGATGTCAGATTTTGCGAATCGCGCGATTCGCTACTAGCGATTCGCGCGGTTCGCTAGCGTCCGCGGTCGCGTTGCGGTACCAGTCAATTGAGTGATTCACTGGCCGCGACACGATCGCAGACGCTAGGGAATCGTGCGATTCGCAAAGTCTGACATTGGCCTTAGGCACGCTCACCTATTCCAACCCCGATCGAAGGTCAATAGACGTTGCTGTCGTGCCCCTTTGCGGGTTGAAAGTGCGCAACAAACAGAAAGTTAGCTCAACCCGATATCCATCTTTTAGTCCACAAGACCCGGTTTTCACTAACGGCGCAGCGAGATGAGCGCGGCCGCAGCAGCGGCACTGGCATGCAGGTGGCTGGCACTGAAGCAATTGAATCTATCCGTTTCAGTAACTTGTCCAACCACGCCCTTTTCCCATGTTGAGGTTGAGAGAGGGGGTCCCTTGGCGGGGCGTGGTGGGTTTCTTTTGCTCTTTTTCTTTTACAGACCACTCCTCACCCCAACGTCACCGCTGAACGCTCTTAAATGAATCCTCCACGAGCGAATAACAATTCTGTCTCATCCATTAGTCACTGGCTTGAGACCCATCCCTCACGATAAGAACGAAAAGAACAAAAAAAATGCTTTTTTTATATTTCCAAAAACCGGAATGAATAGTACGCATTCAAACTATCACTGCACATCTGTTACAAATGCCGGCGGCAAAATCTTGCACTTTCTTTTCGGAGTGGTGTCACTAGAAAACTTCTCTTTTGACTTTCAAACTTATTGCACCAACATCTACTGCATATTATTCTGTCGCCTTTCTTGTCTCAATCTCCGAAAATCGGACGTTCATTAGACTCTCTAAATGCGTCGCTGATACTTGGCCGCCCTAAAGCGCATTTCTTTCCAGCCGCCTTTGGCTCCGCGCTACCTACCTTCGACTGTCCTTCTCCACGAAAACTTATTTTCGTGCGTGAAACTTTGTAGTGTTGCCCCTAGTGATCACAACTGACATAGTGATGTTAGGAAAAATGCAAGGATTCCGTTAAACCTTCATTTTATTCCTGGGCTTGTCTTCAACAACTGGAGCCGTCTACGATGACGGAAACGTTGTCGTTCCGGCTTTTGGGACGGAAGGTCTTCGTTTCTCCACACAAATGCTCATCGAACAACTACACTGAATTACTATTTTTGAAGATTGTGGGTACCTCTTCCTCTCTTCTTTCTGGGAACTTTTAGAGAACGGATACGTAATCATCAAATTTCATTCGATCACGACAATCCATCACAAAGAGACGGTCGCTAGTGGAAAATCAAAGCTTTTTCTTCTTCGTGGCAATATGTACTGCAATCGTCAAAGTGCAATAGTGTGTTTTATACCGGTAGTCCAAAGTTTCGAGAATTGTTTCTCGCGCTTAATATTTTCTCCCGAAACGACTAAAATCTTATCTTAGTTAAGAAAGTTTTCCACTTTTTTCTGAACAATTGAGACTTAATGATTCTAAAACATAGAAGGACTCAACAATCACCCATCAATCTATGGAACGTACTGGTTAACCAGGCACAAAATAGCGCATGAAAAACCCTTCGACAAGCATTTTTGACCTCGAATGTACAGTACATCGTATAAGGTAAATAATAAACGTACATAGTTGCACGGATAGCATCAAAATAACATAGAATTGCATGAGGTTGTTGTCGTAAATGTGGCCTCGCCCACTGTCTTAAATAGTGGACACATAGATGGCTGTCAATTTCTCACCTAGTTCTTTTTTCCGGACCGCGGTGCATATGGGACTCCAGCTCACAATCAAATGAAACGCAAACACAACACTCGACCAGCCCGTCGCTGAAGCTACAAGGGAAGCAAGTGACACAATTCACACCTCACCGTGGAATATTTAATATTTTATCGAAATTAAATTGGAATTGAGATACAAATTTTACTTCTCAATGAGCGTTTAGGAACAAATCAGTGTTCTCTGGAAATTTAAGGCACGTCCTTCATGTAGCGTACACATCCTCCATGTAAAAATTCACTCAATATAACATCACAATTCGAAGATTTGGTCTGAGGTCAGAATTCTCTTCATATCAGTACAAAATACAATTCCATTGTAACGTCAGACTACTATTCACATCAAGGTATCGTAACTTTTGACCGGTGAAGCAGCAACATGTTGCACCGGTTGATAGTGGAACGCTGGGCGAACAAATGCTGATGGTCTCTGCTGAGATGCTCCGACTCTAAAAATAGGAAATTTTATGCATCACTTCTGGTGTTTTTTCTACACACTTTCCTAAAAACCCATAGAGAATTCTGTTCTCGGTCCAAAGAAAGCCGCAGGCTCTTTTGTTTCCTCTCCTTGCCTTCTTAAATGTTTTCTTATTTTTCAGATTTTTTTTACTGAAAAAAGAAACATCTTAAAGAAAAGGCTGATTGCAATAAATAGCAATACTATAAATAACCGGCGTACCCATGTAGCGCTCACTCCCCTACTTCATTTACATAAGGACGGGCTTACCTAAGAGATTTCAGGGCGCATCAAATGCTGTTCTTCCTAGTATATGGAATGAACGACACTACAGGTGTGAGATTTCTTGTCATAAAATATCTTCAAGGTTTTTGAAAAAGGTCCTAGTGACGTGCGTTTAAAGGAATCCTTCGCTGAAAATTCTTGCATTCTTTCTTGACATGAATATGTCAGTTGTGATCACTGGAAATAGCACACAAAGTTTCACGCATAAAGACTCGGTTTTCGAAAAGAAACAAACAAAACTACTCTCTATGGACAATCGAAGGTAATCAGGCGGAGCCAAAGGGGAGGCATGGAAAGAAGTTTGCCTTTGGCCGGCTACGTATCAGGCGACGCAATGAAAGAATCGGGTCTAAGCGCGCGATTTCGGAGAGTGGAGACAAATCGATCGATAGAATAGGATGGAGCGGAAGTGTGAGATGTGAATGTAATAAATCAAGAGGCCTGAAAAAGTTTCTAGAGCAGGCAATCCAAGAACCAAGTGGAAGCATCCCCGTCGCCAGCATTTGTGACAGATGGTACATTGAACGACAGACGGTACATTGAACGCGTAGCAGCCGTTTCGATTTTTCGATTTTTTTTTACCGAAACAAAAGCAATATTTCTGTTCTATTCATTCTTATCGAGGATAATGAGTCTAAGGTCAGTGATTTATGGCTGAAATTGAATCATAATTTCCCCGTGAAGGATTCCTTCAATCGATCATGACTGTTCTATGCATGTTTTCCACCGTGAAATCGTACTTACCTTGGCTGTTGTAGCCGTTGAATGCTAACCGGGCGACCATCATTGCTGCCACTGCTGCTGAAGTTTTCCTTTTCTTTTTTCATTTCCTCCAGCATTCTAGATTTATCTCCGAGTTCCTTAAGCACCACAATAATCTTCACAAGGACAATATAATCACAAGTAATAAAGTAGTAATACTATCGTAGGGGGTGCATCCGAAATGTCATGAGATGAAGAGCTTTCGCAATATTTGTTTGTCAGTAATTCAAAAAAAAAACAGTTATCATGCCCACGTCGATTCCAAAAGGTTCTTCAGAGTCCGAAAATGATAAAAGGGAAAAGCATAGAGAGCTCTGCCGTTGATCAATCCATTGTTGGGATGGGGCATGCATTCCACTTCCATTTGTACATTCGCAGTGGCGTTTGATTGCGATGTGGCCTATACAATGACTTGCGGGGCCAGCCGATGTACAAGTCAGTGTTATTATCCTCCCAGACAAGTCTGGTACATTAACCGGCCCCGGAGGAACGGAAAGCTTGGCTGGCCCGGACGACACACGACCCAGGATTCAATCCCCGGATCGCGCGCGTGGTAAGCGGGCCACTTGCCACTACAACATTCCGCCCTTCAAAAGTGATGTTCTAGTGAAAAAGTGAAGGGTGATCGATGGACAGCGAATCATTCAATCATCATCTATCAAATGCATTCAATTAACAAAATGCTAATTTCTCGAGAGCTTTTGTGCCGAATTAAGTTTAATATGTGGAATTTCCGGGCAGAACTGGCGTAGTGGCAAGTGGCACGCTTACCACGCGAGCGGTCTAGTGATCGAATCCGGGGTTGTGCTTCGTCCGGACCATCCAAGCAGGGTCAACCGTTACGTTGCACCGATAATGGAACGACGAGAGTAATGCCGACGAGTGAACGTACACGGAAGACACAGACGGGGCTTCGCGGGTTAGAGTAATGCCGGCGCGGAGAGCGGTGAACATCGGTCCAACGTCGTTCCATTATCGGTGCAACGTAACGGTTGACCCTGCATCTATGCCTTCCATCCCTCCGGGGTCGGTTAATCGGTACCAGACTGTCTGGTAGGATAAAAACACTGACTTCATCGGCTGGCCCCCGCAAGTCAATGTATGAGCCGTCGCATTCGAACTCCACTAACGAATTCACAAATGGAACTAGAATACGTGCCGCGTCCCAAAAAGGGATTGATCAACGGCAAATGCTTTATTTATTTATGTGTAATTTTCAGAATTTCCGCAGCCATTTACGGGAAAAATTTGTGCTTTCAGAACTGTCCGACTTTGGGAGATGAAGTGGTACTATTCGCAGTCCCTTTTATGGATTGTGGGAATTTCAGGCTCTTCCTTCGAGGCTGCGCAGATCAAACTTGGATTATTTTGACATCAACCACTGTTCAATGCGATGCTTATCAAAATTTAAAAAAAACCAAAACTTTCAAAAAAATGTGCTGTTTTTGAAGAAGAGACCAAAAGAGCATATCGCCGACCAAGGAACCTCATTATCAGAATTCAATAAACTAGATTACCTGAGTGAGCATCAAATTCTGTCGATGAAGCCACGCTAATTGATCATCCTGTGGTTGAGGGAGCTTATCCTTCTAAACATCAGAGTTTGAACGCCACATATATTGTTTTACATATTTGGCAGGCAGGTAAACGTTTTCGGTGCGGATTCACGTGTAAGTTTAATGGAAGGTCCAACATGGAACATGTTCACGTTTACGCTTTTAGCACGACTTCATGTGTTAACTCCACAGTCAACAGGTGTAACAATTTCATGGCGGGAATTCAAATTTCTTACAGCCTCCCTCGTTGTTAGGATCAATATCGAAACCAACGCTTGTTTTTCCTTCTTTGTGCTATCTTCATGAAGCAAGGGAGCCAAGTTATCAATTTGTGGTAAGGATGGAGGCGGGTTTTTTGCGTAAAGGATCCCCTCACGATGCCTCACTTCATGTCCATGAATTTTTAGTGGCAGATGCCTACAAATAAAGGGGACACAAGTGTCCTGATTGCCCAGAAAGTATTCGCAGTCAGGGTCGGTCCTATCGTTGCTACTTTTCAAAGGGTTTTTACGACCCCCCTCCCTCATGAAATGTTTAATACGATCTCCCTCCATCACAAAATGTTTAATACGACCCTCTCTTTCAGACAATTTTTACCCCAAAAAATTACCGTCGAGCGGGGTATATACGCGCGCTGAAACGGCAAATTTTCTCCTGCCCCGCTCCCCACTCTTCACATGCAACTTCTTACAACCGAAGCAAGTACGACCCCCCCCTCTGCAAACTCATCAAAATACGACCCCTCCGTTGCTACTTGTAGCAACATCGGGTTGACCCTGTTCCCAGTACCTTATCTTCGAGATACTTTCCAAAGCCAAGAAGTTTTTTTGGGACTGATACTATTTTCGTGGACTTGAGATTATATATACTGTGAGGAAAATTCCCCAATTCCTTGGTCCGAGATCATTCCCAAACTTAGAAAAGGTTTCAGTTCCTTGGAGTTAAGATTATCCAGGACAGTCTCTCTGACGCTTTTAGGCGAGGACAGGCCGATGTTGATTGCCTGTAAACCTCGACGATGCAAAGGAATTTGTTACCCGCGGGAAGAAAAAATAGTTCATGCTGATTCAATAGAAGCACTGCATTTATAAGAAAAACAACGTGAAACGACCAGCCGGGGCGAATGTTTTGTTTATAACCAATGTAGCCTTTTGTGAAACAAACAAAACAAGCCAGACGTTAAAACGGTTCCGAAAAGCTAGTGTGCTCCAACGAATCAGGTTTCTACGGATATGTCTGATACCGTAATACTACTTGAATATTAGATAAGAGCAAATGTTGCTTACTTGTAACATGACATGTGACGGGAACCCTCGTTCACTGCTTTCCATCAGCGATACCATCCGCCTGTTCAGTTCTGTGAGATGGGCACGAAGAAAATTTAGTTTCTGTTCATGTACAGCGACGTCCTAAAAAAGAATGTCGTTGCACTGCACTTAATGCATGGGAACTTAAGGCGATTCTCACCAATGCCACCATCCCATGTCCAAGTAGGCGTTTCCGCTTCTCGAGGGATGACATCCGTTCACGATACCATGATAAGAGTTTCGTTGCTGTCTCCATGCCTTTTTGGACCAGCTCGAATTCTTCTTTCAACAAACCATCCAGTTTAGCCTACAACGAAATTTCATGACCGTTTTGAAGCAACAGCACAAGCTCAATTGCAAAAGCGTAACTACTGCACGATCCAAGGCACAGCTCAGGCAGAAGTCTTGTGAACGGTCCCTTTGGGCCGGAAGATATGTGAATCCCTATAGGAATCACAGATGTGGCACTCCTGTGCATGAAAATTACCCGATTAGAGCGGCAGGGACTCGCAAAGTCAGCTGCGACTGCTGCAATGTTCCCCGTCTGCGGTCTGGCGCCCTCTCATCTGTTGTCCTCTCTCACCTCCTCTCCGCGTTCAGCCTCTCATTGCCTTATCACAGCTGCATCTCGAAGGTGATCAAGTCCTTTACCTGTCGATTTCGACAAATTCCTTCCCCTCTTCCTTACTGCCGCTCCATTTCACACCAATACTTCCTTTCGTGTGCAAGAACCACGCCAATGTAAGGCATGTCTCTAAACGAATGAGCAAAATTTCATACTAAGGCACAGATCAATTCACAGGACTATTCGTGAGCGATATTCAGACTTTCAGCGCTTGAAATCATAAACAAAAGCGAAAACGCAGTCATTCTATGGGAATGCCATTACCATCAAGATCAAGAAGGCCTACCGTAAGTGCCCTAGCCGCAAAGGGGGCTTTCACGATAAGGTCGAACCAGGTGGAACTTACCTAGGGACTTAAGAACACACGTATCCCTTGAGCCGCAACGCTATCAACGCGGTGCGCCCTGACCGGCTCACCATTCACTGTAGGTCTCTTACCGTTTAGCAGAGAAAGCGTTGGCGTTGAAAGAGACAGCATCGATGAGAGTTGTGTCAGGGCGAATTCCACCGGCAGGGAGGAGCTCACTCCTCTGGTTTTGAACCACTTCTCATAGTTCTTTCTTCATCCCAAACACTAACCACCTCTGCCTTGGTTCTAATGGGCCGCCTCTAATCGTAAACTGCGCCTTCAAGCAGCTATTTAATTTCTTCAGCGAATTAACTGATGGAAGTTCTCTAGAGAAGTTGCTCTGCATATGTAAACCCTCTTCCGAGCAACGTTCCAGGTAACGTCGCATGGTTACGATCCGTCGAGGACTTCCTTGAGCCCGAACAGTGCACCATGTTCCCGTGGAGTACTATTGTGGAAAATTTCATGTTGTCAGAGCAGAGGTAATCACGAAACCCGTTGATAGAATGATATGTGCATCCTATTATCAGTTGGGAGCATTCGGTTTGAATCTAGTTAAGTGTAGTTAATTAAGTTTCGAATGTGGGAGGAGAATGCATGTTTGCCTCTCCCCCCTCTTAATAGGCCCTTTCTCAAAGGATCTGAAATATCGCGTCTACGCGTTTCAAACAAAACAAAAACTGCCAAGTCTTCGAAGTCGTAGTCTCATCTATTGGGGGGGGGGGGAACTGCTCAACGAATGTTGTCGGTGGGGGGATCTCTGTGGTGGCATCGTGCAAGGACTAGGGTTGCGCTAGAGTGGAATTGTGATAACTTACGACCACGATAGATGGTGTGGTGTGCTCTGATTGTGAGTTCGCGGATCTACCTGTTACGCGTCTTCGCTATGGGTCAAGCTGGACCTCTTCATTTGCATCTCCTATAGAAGTTAAAACTGAACTCCCCAATTTTTTTCATTAATAGCTAGGGCTGCAATTCTCCTCATTTTTCACAAATAATGGAGCCCTAATTAAACCCAACGAGTGAAAAGTCAGAGTGAATGTTGGCTTTCTCGTTGGGAACTCCATGAAAGGACTCACCGTTCTAGGTGCTGGATCATCCTCACACAATGTGTTCCTACATTGAGAATCACAAATACTCGTTGAAAGGCTCGCTGAATTTCTCCAGGCTATATTCTCCAATCCTGATGAGGCTAAAGACACGAATACAGAAGTTTTTGAGTGAGCAAACATAAACTGAAAAACTGTAGGGCATGAGAGATTAATAGGGACTAGAGCCACCTCCGAAGAGTTGGGAGACGAGAAATAACAGCTGGTTGAGAATAAGTTTTCAATAGATGATAAATTCCGCATTGAAAAAGCTAGTTCACTTAGTTAATGTTCTGAGTTCTCTAATTTTCTTTGATGCTCGGATGTGAAATAGTATAGCGCACCTAAGCGTGCAACAAATAAATAATAAATAAATAAAGAAGTCTCGGAAAAACTTATCGTTGAGACATGGGTGCAAGTAAAAGGGCTTTCAGGAACATGTTACCATAGAAGCCAGCCGTACCATAGGAGCCGTAAATAAGTTCCTTTCTCCCTTTCCTCTTCTCCTTTAGATCCGGCTATAGTTTTATTTTGTACAAGAATGATACGAATACTGGATAGACATAGAGTTCAAAAGTGCCGAAAGGCTGTACTCACTAGCTGAACGTGTGGGAAATTAAACACTCCGCCCACGGTATAAGGGGTTCCTTCATCATGCTACACCTTAACCGTCATTATCACAGAATTGCAAGCAATGTTTTCAAGTAACGGTCCCTATTTCAGCGTCCAGTTTTCTTTGAAGGCGGAGTTCACGATTGTGACGCAGCCCACAAGAATCAAAGTTGAGGTGATCAATGGGGCCGGAATGAAAAAAAAATCCATGAGAAGGCCAAGGACTCGTGAGGACTCTCCCTTGCCCGTTGATTTCTGCACTCATGCGACATTCATGGGTGCAGCTCTTCTAACGCTAACGCTTCCTCTGAGAATCGGCTACCCTGCGGCAAATGATGAGCAGTCAGTCGGCGTGCCGTACCGATAGCGCCGCATGGAGGGCCATGCTTGGTCGCCGGGGACGTGTCGGTCAGCACCCTAAGAAGTCCACCTGTCTCTGCTCTAGGTGAGTTCCGCTTCTTTGACATCGGCCTTATCATAGAACCCCCCCCCCCTAGAAGAAAATATGGAGAAAAACTGTCAAAATAAAAAGCGGACATTTGTGCTCTACAAGAGGAGAGGAGATTAGGGATAGAGAAATGGGAGATACTAAGTCTTTAGGGCGGTGAGAATTCGCCGAGCTGAGAGAACATGCAGATCGGCGAAACGATGCAAAAGATTCGATACTAAAACTGTGGTGAATGAGTCAATCGTGCAGCGTTTGACGCGTGATAACGTTGCTTTTGGAGCATCTGCCATGACGGTGCCTCGCATTGCGTCGTTGGCATTTCGCTCATCTCATCATGGGTTGTGAGTGGTACTATGAAGGGACGTTGAACCCCCAAGAAGCGAGGACGGGCTTCTCTCGCGGAGTGGGGCCATCACCACGTGGCTAACCCTAACCCTGGCGAGCGTCACTACCATGGCGCCACCCGCCTCCCACCGGAGGCTCGGGCTATGATTGGTTAAATGCTGACACCGATATCGCTATATTCTCTCTTCATGCAAAAAAAAAACTTTCATTATGGTGGCTACATGATCGTTTGCCTATGTAACACATTCTCAATCGAAGGATTATGTATGTTTATAGGCATTATATTGGCTGTCGTGCTTAAGACGAGCAAAGTAGCTTGTCTTGATCGTTGGGTCGTCCAAATCGGAAATCAACTGGCAAGAAGGTCCCATTTCTCGGATTTTCAACAGTTTTCACTATTTTATTCTTCAGCAGCGGCCCTTTACCAACTCTACTTCCAGTTCTAAAGAGCAACGATTTTTTCGTAACGTTCTCCTTGCAGAACTGTTGAGAATTCCTCCAACTCATCTCTACCCTTGGCATCGCTTTCATAGAAATCGTAAATTCGTCTCTTTGCTTACCGTCTAAATTCTACACAAAATGCCCCTCTATCCTTTCTAGTGCTGTAGGCCTGTACATTACACTTATGGACGAGTGCTTGCAGGTAGCAATGCGTACACAAAGCAGGGCCAACCGTCACGTTGAACCAATTTCGAAAATTTTACGACCACCCCCCCCCCTTCCCCCTTCTGGAGGGCCTCGACACGACCCTCCCCAGGACCAACTCCTCACGACCGTCCTCCACCACCCTCGCCTACGGCAAAATTTTCACACTCACACTCAACCTAAAAGCCCAACCTATAGAACCCATTACCCGTTCCATAAAAACCCCTTCCCTTACTGTAACATTGACGCTACCTAGCGAAATACGACCCCCGCCCCCTCGTTGGACTTTGGCCCACGGACGATTGACCCTGACACAAAGCATACTCCAACATAGGTAACCATAGAAAACATCACTCACCTAAGCTGTTATGCGACGCAGTGCTCTGTGGTCGCCGTCGCACCATTACTTTCGGAACAACGTTAGCCGGTGGCACAGCGTGCCTCATTCTTGATTCCACTTTCTGGGAACGCACAGTGTTTGCCTAAAGTGAGTGAAAATTCGTAGCTCAAAAACGTCATCCTAAATACGACTACTTTGGGTCATTAGATGTACGTAGCGATCAAGATGCGTATTTAGGATACGTTTTGAGCGACAGAATATTGCACACTCACTTTAAGCAACACACTGACGAATTCCCAGAAAGTGGAATAAAGTAATGAAGCACACACGGCGAGTGCAACTCTGAGCTCACGTTGTCGACACGTATGGTGGCGACGCCGACCACAGAGCAACGCGCGCAATAACAAGGCTTAGTGATGATGGTTCTATGTTACCAGGTTATGTTGAGTATGCCTCTGATGTACTAGGAGTCAATCGTCCGTTGGGCCCAAGTCGCTAACGCCAAGGGGGGAGTGGTTGCGTATTCCTCGCCATAGGATGAATAACCAGTCAATGTTAAACATATATACGGATGGTTTTTTTATGCGAACGGTACTGGGTTCTATAGTGGCGCTTTTAGTTGAGTGTGAGTGTGCAAAATTTTGGGGCCTGTAGGGAGGTGGTGGAGTGAGACGGTCTCGACGGAGTTGTCCCTGGGGAGGGCTCGTGTCGAGGCCCTCCAAAGGGGGGGCGCGGTGGTCGTCAAATACCGAAATTGAGCTTCAACGTGACGGTATTTGTCCCTTGCATTGTGTCGCATTGCTACTGCAAGCACGTCGTCACATAACGATGTTAATGTACAGAGCCCTATTCATGCACAGAAGATAGAAGTGTTGCATTTTGTGTGAAGAATTTAGATCGGTAAGGCAGAAAGTATATCGAATTTACCTGATGTCTTATGAAAGGCGATGCCAAGGTAGACCATAAGGGTTGCACGAATTCTCTAACAGTCTCCTGCAAGGATAGTAACGTTAGACAAAATTGTTTCTCTTTTAGAAGCTGGAAGTAGAGTTTGTAAATGGACCGCTGCTTGAGAAGAATACACAATAGCTGAAGAAAGTTTTGAATGAATCCGCAGAATTGGCACCTTTTCCTGCCTAGTTGATTTTCCGATTTGGACACCGTAACAACGATCAAGACAATTCACTACTTTGCTCGTCTTTTAAGCACTGACAGCGTTACAATTCATAATGCCCTATAAAACATAACATATCCTTCAGACTTGAGAATGTTGTTACATAGCGCAAACGATCATGTAGCCACATATGAAAGTTTTTTTTGGCATGAAAAGATAATATTAGCGATAATCGGATGTCCGCATTTAACCAATCTGAAGCGCGAAGCCTCCGTGGAGGTCGGCGTGGCGCATGGTAATGACTGGCTCGCCAGGTAGGGTTACTCTGTGGTGATGGCCCCACTCCCCCGCGAGAAGAAGCCCCGTCCACGCTTCTTGGGGGTTCCACGTCCCTTCATAGTACACACTCACAAACCCATGATAAGAAAAAAAATAGCGAAATGCGCAACGAACGGCAATGCGCGCACCGTCATGGCAGATGCTCCAAAAGCAACGTTTTCACCGCGTCAAATCGCCTGCATCATTTGGACTCATTCACGCCACAGTTTTCACGTATCGACATCTTTGCATCGTTCGCCCTATCACATGTTCTCACTCAGCTCGCGAATTCTCAACCAGCCTAAAACTTTAGTATCTTCCCATTATACTCTATCCTCAATCTCCTCCTCCTCTGTAGAGCACAAATGTCCGCTTTTATTTTGACAGTTTTTCTCACATATTTGTTCTAGGGGGGGGGGGTTCTTATGATAAGGCGATTGTCCAAGAACGCGGAACTCACCCTAGAGTCGGAGCCGGTGGAACCTTCTTAGGGGTGCTGACGACACGCCCCGTGACAGCATGGCCCTCATGCGGCGCTAATCGGGTATCGCCGCGACTGCCTGCTCATCATCTTGCCGTCAGGTAGTCCGATTCTCCAGAGGAAGCGTAGTGTTCAGCAGAGCTGCCACCCATGAATCGCATGAGATGCGCAATTACAACGGCAAGGGAGAGTCCTCTACGCGTCCTTGCCTTCTCATGGATTTTTTTTCATTCCGGCCCCATTGATCACCTCAACTTTGATTCTTGTGGTGCGTCACAATCGTGAATCCGAGCTCAAAGTGAAAGACCTGGACACTTAGAAAGAATAAAGGGACCTGTCTTCTGTAAGCATTGCTTGGACACAATTTCTGGATAATGAACGTGCTTAAGGTGTACATCGATGAAAGAAACCCTTATACCGTGCAGTGTTTTAATTTCCCACACGTTCCAGTTCTAGAGAGTACACGCCTTTTTGCCTTATGAGCTCTATGTCTACAGTAGTCGTATCATTCTTGTACAAAATAAACTAAATGGCGGATCGTAAAGAAAGGAAGGGAGATAAAGGAACTTATTTTACAGGCTCCTGATGGTTACGTAGCTTCTTATGTTAAGATGTTCACTCGAAGCTTACTTGCACAATGCTTACACGACTAAGAGTTTTTCTCGAGACTCTACGTGTTCTTATATCTATATTTTATTTATTTTATTGCTATGGCATGAGTTGGCGTTTATGACTATCAGCTATTGTCCACATCCGAGCATCAAAAAAATTAGGAGAACTCAGTAAAATAACGTAGTGAATCGTCTATTTTTCCCATGCGGAATTTATCAATACTAATTAAATAATCTATCTCGAACCATCTTTATTTCTCGTCTCCACTCTTATCGGAGGTGGCTCTAGTCTGCCTATTAATCTCTCATATGCCCTACAGTTTCAGTTTATGTTTGCTTCACATCAAAACATCTGTATTCGTGTCTTTAGCCTCATCAGGAATGGAATATAAGGCCTGAGAGAATTCAGCGAGCCTTTTCAACGAGTTATATTGTGATTCTCAATGTATGGAACACACTTGTGTGAGATCATCCAGCACACCGTAGATAGGTGAGTTCCTTTCATGGAGTTCCCAAACCGCCGAAAGCCACACCATTCACTCTGATTTCACCTCGTTGGTTTAATTAGGGCTCTGCATTATTTTGAAATGAGGGAGAATTTGCAGCCCTAGCTATTGAATGAAAAAACAATTTGGGAGTTCAGTTTAACTACTACTAAGAGTGCAAATGAAAGGTCCAGCTTGACCGCACTAGCGAATACGTTACATGGAGATCCGATGAAACTCCCACATCAGAGCACACCAACCAAATCTATCGTGGTCGTAAGTTTATCACAATTCCACTCTACAGAGGCAAACCTAAGTCCTCGAGATGGCATAATGCACCAATTTCCCTCCTTTCAAACAGAGATCCCGCACCACAACTCTTGAGTCGTATCACCACCCTCCCCCCAATAGATAGACTACGACTTCGAAGATTGGCAGTTTTGTGTTTGTTTGCAACGCGTAGACGCGATATTCAGCTCCTTGAGAAAGGCCCTATTTAAAGGGGGGAGAGGCAAACATGCCTTCTTCACTCCACATTCGAAACTATAATTAACTACACTTAACTAGATTCAAACCGAATTCTCCCAAACTGATAAAGGATGCATCATATTCATCTACTCAACAGGTATTCGTGATTACTCTGCTCTGAGAAAACATGAAATTTTCTCAGCAATAGTCACTCCATCGGAACATGGTGCACGATTCGGCTCAAGGAAGTCCTCACGGTAATCGTAATAACCATGGGCGACGTTACCTGGAACCGTTGCTCGGAAGAGGTTTAACATATGCACAGCACACTTCTCTAGAATCCCATCATTAATTTCCTGAAAGAAATTTACAATTAGCTGCTTGAAAGGCGCATTTACGATTAGAGAGGCCATTAGAACACCCCAGCAGAGGTGGTTACGCTCGTTTGGGATGAAGAAAGAATATGAAGCAATGTATTTCAATAACCAAGAGGAGTGAGCTCCTCCCCTGCCAGATTCTTAATTGGCGCACCTGACACAAGGATCTGAATCGCATGCTGTCTCTTTCAAAGCCTGCTACTAACAGTGGCTTTCTCTGCAAAGCAGTAAGAGACGTCCAGTGAATGGTGATGACCGATTC